GCCCCGCGCGGGCAGGCGGCGGTGCCGTGCGGGATGGGCGCAGCCGCCGGCCTCCTGGGGGGGAGATGTCGTGTGCGTGTGTGTCTGCACCCATGTAGACACGGGGATGATAGGTGTACACGGTGTGTAGAGAACGGACTGCTAGAGGTGTCATAGAGAGGTATCATATGCACATACACACGCGCCACGTATAGATAGATACACACGCACACATGATAGATAGATAGATATAGTTATATACACACACACACACACACACACATATATATAGTTATATACCGTTATTATAGATATATAAAAATAACAAATATCTGTGTATATGTGTAGATATATATACACATACATCAGATAGCTATATAGATACACAACATATATATGAGAATGTATCTGTCAGATGTGCGCATACAACACTTAGCTAACTAACTGTACATAGACCCCACATATAGATAATGTACATATATGATATGTACAGATATACATCACACACACTACATACATACATACCTATATACACGGATATATATTATTATCTATACTTATATACATATAAACGTGCATTATGTATACACAGAGATAGATAAAGGAGGAGAGATGTGTGTGTATTATATTTACATATATTATATATACATACATACAAACACACCACATATATATATACAGTCTCTCTATCTATCTATATGGTGTGTTTGTGTATTGGCAGCTAGTTAGCTATATGATATTATGTGTATATATGTATATCTACACAAATATATATGTTATTATACACACACACATATAGTGTGTTGGTATCTGTCATACGGAGTACATGTGTGTATTTGCAAATCTACATATATATACAGTTATATATACATCATATATCTAGCTATATATATGATGTATGTGTGAATATGTATATTTATACACATATATACACAGAAATGATATGATAGATCATATATATTATATATATTATAACATAATTTCTCTGTGTATATGTGTACATATACATATATATACATACACGACATATAGAGATACACACACTATATATATTATCTCTGTGCGTATATGTAGATTTACATATACACACTATATCTCTCTCTCTCTCTCTACACGTGTATACACGCACAAATGATATGTTATATATATGATGTGTGTGTGTGCAAATGCATACCTACACATATATACAGGTATACGCAGAGAGATGATATAACGTGTGTATATACAAATGCATATACTTTGTACACACAGTGTAGATATAGTGTATATTACCTTGCACATACATCTAGATCTATATCATACGTGTGTATAGTCATATGCACGCACGTATTTATATGGTGTGCGCACACACCTACGGTATAGCGTG